TATATATATATAATGTTATCATAAATATAATAATTTCCTTTTTTATATTATTTAAATTATTTACCTCTCAATTTTAAAAATGTTTTAATTTCAGATGCTTTGATTTATGTGTCGTTTATTGTTGTATCAAAATATGACAATATAGATATTCTCTCTAGGCAAATCGAGAGTTCCGAACTCACTCGCGTGGTTCGTTTTGCGATAATTATCGAGATGAGTTTGAATTGCATGTTGCACTGGTTGTTCGTTGATTTCACTATACATTGTCATTTCAATCACATAATACCTTTCCTTGGGGAATTTTGATATTTTGGATGCGCTCATGTGATTTATTTTATCATTGGAGATCATTTTCGTGATCTTGTCGACGATCGAGATGATTTGAGTTTGAATTAATCACGTTGCGTCGTTGTCCGATCATTTTTATCGTTCTCTCTACTTTTGATCATGAAAGTCCACTCCTTTCGTAACTCTGATGTTCTGAATGTGACGGCGGAGTCGTTTTGCAAAAGAGCATTGTTCGAGGTGAATTTCTAGCATGTTCGAGAAACTAAATTTGATCGTACCGTGTTGCATTCTTCATTGTTGTCTCGCCATGACCGATCGACTCATTTTGTGGAGTATATGTGTGGATGAACAACACTTATCCCAGAAATGCTCCCATGAGAGCATGCTCAACTTTGGATCTTCTATCAAAACTCCAACCGTTACACTATAAGGTGCCTTGATGTTTAAGAGTTCGGCTTCATTCTATTTAACTAACTCACCACGTCCAAATGTGGAGATTGAGGATCTTGCAATTTATTGCCCATCTACACTTACCACATGGGCAATAGCTAGTCAATTTTGTGACTTTCACTTGCACAAATAATGTGTCTTGACATTGAAAGGTTTGCAGCCTAGCATTTAAAGCTCGTTTAGTAGATCAACTAAATATTTTGTTTCAGATGTAGATTTTCATAGGGCATATTCGGCTGCTAGTATATCAAATATGTTAAAGGGGTAATTACATACAGACCATCCGAATGTTGCTATTTACAAATCAACCACCCTCATTCATCCATTTTTCCAAGAACTCAATCAAATATGAAAATTCATGGGAAAAACCAAACTCATAAATACGTGGCACACATATATACATTGGTTTAGTAGTTTAAAAAAATCACATGGATGATTAATTTATGAATGATGATTTTGATTCTATTCATTTTTTATATGGATGAAATCATTACTTTTGTGTGATTTTAGAGCTTGAATCTCAGCCCGATCAATTGAATTCATTAAAATATCAAAACTATCACGAGTAGAGGATGTAGGAGACCATGTATGTGTATTATTTACTCATGGTTCAAGCTTCTCAGCTCTTCAATCTCTTCTTTTTTCTCGTCTTAAAATGGTCTTTGGCTCATACATGCTTGTTTTTAGAGTAATTTTTTTTTTACTTCTAGAACTTGGTTCCAAACATGGAAATAATATTCTGCAATTTAAAACAGATTATGATGTTCGGACACACTCTCGCAGTCCATTTTGTGATCGGAGATTATTTAAGTAACTTTCGATGATTATCGAGATGAATTGGGCCCAAATTATATGTCACAATGATTGTTCATCGATTTTACCGTACATTGTCATTTCAATCACATAATACCTCTCCTTGGGGAATTTTGATATTTCAGATGCATTTTTGTAGTTTGTTTTTTCATCGGAGATCGTTTTGGTGACCTCGTTGACGATCAAAATAATTTGAGTTTAAATTAAGCATGTTACGTCTTCGGCCAGTCATTTTCATCGTGCCCTCTCCTTTTGATCATGAAAGTCTGTTCCTTGGGTAATTGTGATGTTCTGAAATGTGACGGCGGAGTTTGTTTTGCTAAAGAGCATTGTTCGAGGTGAATTTCAAGCATGTTCGAGAATTCCAAATTTGATTATGCATTTTCGCATTCTTCATTTGGTTCTCTCACCATGACCGATCAACTCATTTTGTGGAGTATATGTGTGGGTCAACAACACCTATCCTAGGACTGCTCCTATGACAGCATGCTCAACTTTGGAGATTCTATCAAAACTCTAACCATTGCGCCAAAATGCGCCTTGATGTTTAAGAGTTCGGCTTCATTCTACTTAAGTAACTCACCACATTCAAATGTGGAGATTGAGGATCATGCAACTATCTATACTTACCACATGGGCAATATCTAGTCAATTTTGTGACAGGTTTATTAGTTTTTCTATTTACCTTTGACACCTTTATTTGTCTACATCTCCAATTCCCTTGCATAAATAATGTTTGTCTTTGACATTGAAAGGTTTGCAGCCTAGCATTTAAGGCTCGTTTAGTAGATCAACTAAATATTTTGTCAGATGGAGGATTTTCATAGGGCATATTCGGCTGCTAGTATAACAAATATGTTAAAGGGGAAATTACATACAGGCGATCCGAAAGTTGCTATTTACAAATTAGCCACCCTCTTTCATCGATATCCATTTTCAAGTACAATATCAAAATTTATGGGAAAACCTAAACCCATAAATACGAGGCACTCATAGAAACATTAGTTCGGTAGTTCAAAAAAAGTCACATGGGTGGTTAATTTATGAATATCAATGTTTCGGGTGGTTTGCATGTAATTATCCCTTTTAAAAAATTGATGATTTTGATTCTATTCATTTTTTAATGTGAATGAAATCATTACTTCTGAGTGATTTTAGAGCTTGAATCTCAGTCTGATCTATTGAATTCATTAAAATATCAAAACTATCACCAGTAGAGGATGTAAGAGACTGTATGTGTATTATTTACTCATGGTTCAAGCTTCTCAGCTCTTCAATCCCTTCTTTTTTCTCATCTTAAAAATGGTCTTTGGTTCATAAATGCTTGTTTTTAGAGCCATTTTTTGTGTTACTTCTTCTAGAACTTGGTTCCAAACATGGAAACAATATTTTGTAATTTAAAACAGATTTATGACGTTTGTTGCTCCATTTCATAAGAAGGTTCAAGAAGGAATTATATCAAGAAAAATTTATACATATCATTCACTTCTCATGTATTCACATATCGAACGCCTAAATTTCAATATTTACTTATATACCACTTTATGAAAAGTTGAATTTCCTTTTTTTAAAAAGTTGAAGTAGTGGTGCTTTGGGTGTGGTACGGAAGATTTGGTTGGTATAAACGTAAAAAAAGAAAAGTATCGTGTTAGATATGTAAATATAAAAGAATTGGGTCGTATGTAAATATGTCAATGTCCAGTTACCATTGGAACTAACATCAATTTATTTTGTTTTGGATCAGCATGATGCTGATGGGAAAGCATATTACATCTTTGAGTTCACAGCTCAAGCACCAAACTTCACCAGGCATGCTCTTGGCACAATTGTTATAGCAAATGGTACAAAACCGTTCTTCTTGTCCTGCAAAATATCTTTTATGATTTGTGTCATTTACATGCATACCACCCAGTCCCTATGTACTTACATTTCTAACACTTAGTTTTTTATATTTATACCACTCAAATCTTTCACATCACATAAAAAAATTACTTTTTTAACTTAATGAAAAGGTAAAATACACCTTTTCATGCATATATGTATAAGTTAAAGTTTAAATAAACAGGAATTGAGTGGCATGTATATAAGTCTTCCTTCTCAGCTCCAGTAATTTATCTGTATCATACTCTCTTCTTTCTGATTGCCTCACATCCAGTATTCATTAATGGCTGTCTAACTGTACTAAGAACTGCTCTTTCTGGCAGGCAAGTTTTACACCCTGACTACTGGCGCCAATGAAAGAAGATGGGAGAAGATGAAAGATAGGTTGCACACTGTTGTGGATTCCTTCAAAATTGATAAATTATAGAGAGTGAAGGTGCTGTTGCCAAGTTCTTGGCTCTGCCACTACAGGCTTTTAATTTCTTCATTTCATTGCTTAATTCAACTCTTGTTCTTGTTTTCCAAGGTAACCATCTTCTTCCCTGTGTTATGCTGCCTACATTTAAATCGTGTTTGTAGACATGATGCCTTCTCTTTATGATCATTTGCTTCAATGATTAACAGAGCTCTTTTCTAGAAGTCTATTAACCACACAAACTTGTGATTCGTGATAATATTTTGCTCGTCTGATGGAAATGTATAACATATTGGTTGAAAATAAGGCGAAGAATTTCAATGTGTTAAATTCGAGCACTCGTCTTATATGAAAAAAAGAAAGTTTTTTTCGATGGATTGTCTGTGCGAGCGAACAAAATTTGGAGAGTGGTATATGTAAGCTTCTTTGGTCCATTTGTTGTGGCTATAGTTATTTATAAAAATAATTGTAAAATTAATGAAGCTACATTTTTCTTAAATCTATTATTAGTATTATAAAATTTATTTATTTTAAGGAAGTAGGGTAGTTGTTTTCTTAGAACTATCATATTAGCAGATCTCATCATCAAAAAATGAATGACATCGTAGAACTTTCTTGGAAACAGAAAAAAAATTGAAAATGGTAGATTGTTGAAATTGGATTTGCCGGCATTTGAGCCGATTGATGTGTTTAATTTACTTAATGTTTCATAAACTCGAATCAAGCAGTCCCTTACAATAATATGTATGATGTAAAATATTGGATTTCTTTTTAAAAAAATGCGGTTGGGATGTATCTAAGTTACCTATGTTAAAAGGACATTTCTGTTGTATTAATGGATTTTATTATGAAAAGGGATAATTTGGACTTTTGGCTAGAGTTTATCGCAAAGGTGTGATGAGAAGTGCAGAAGTTGTGACCCTAACGTATTTTTCTTTCTTCTCATTTGATGCTAGTGAAATCCCTCCCTCTCCGTGGACGTAGGTGAATCAACTTAACGTTGAATCACGTAAATCTTCTGTGTTTGATTATTGTTGTGTGAATTTCTTCACTTTTGCATCATTTTCGCATAAGAATATGTATCAGAGAATCAAGTTCGTGATCGGAGTGTGTTTCAGCTTTTGATGGCAGCAAATTTCGTGTGTTGTCAGTAATTTTTGCAACAGGCGGGCTGTCGTATTTTCCCGATATATTCGAAAGTTTGACAGCTGAGCGGCGGCAGGTAAGCTACTTGGATGCAAAGTTTAGGTGGAGTGGTTGTCGTTCTAGCGACTCCAGGCAAGGTTTTTTGTGGGTCCCACAGAAGGTTTGCCTGTCTCGTGATGACCTAATTTTTATGTGCGGACTCCTGACGTAGCTCTACGTGCCACGGAGGTTATTTCTGAGTTTTTCCAGATCATTTCTGGGTTATTTTCAATAATCCCGAAATAACTCAGAAATAACACGCGGTCTTTATTTTTGGGTTATTTCGGAGTTATTTCGGGACTTTTGAAAATAATTGAGAAATAACCTGAAAATAATTCAGGAATAACCTCCGCAACACATAGAGTTACGTCAGGAGTCCGGACAAAAAATACGCTCCTCGCGAAGGACGATGGTAGGCTGGCTCGGTTGCTGGATTGGCCCCACAGCCCAGCGAAAGGAACAAACATTAGGAGCTCGCGTGGAAGTTTAGCGGAGGAATTTCTGGAAATAGAGGAAAAAAATGATTTTTTTTTTTAAGGGGAAAGAGGAATTTCTGGAAAGAAGAGAATTTTCGGAAAAAGAAACAATTTCGTAAACAGAAAAAAAGGAAAGAAAAAAAAAAAAGTAAATTTCTATATTCTTTCTATCTTTTTTTTAAGGTTTCTAAATTAAGAGAAAAAGTATTTTAGGGAAGATTTTATTTTGCTAGAATATTTTTCTTAAGAAAGAGATTCCAACGGCGGTAACAACGAATGATAACTTGATGTAGGTACTTTAACGTCCACTGTGGAGGTTGAAAAGTTGATTCATTAGGTGGTTATATTTCACATCAAAATTGATGTGACGAAATTCGAAGACAAATAAAACATTTGCATGTGACGATGTGAGGTGGTGGATGCACTAAGTTCGTCATCACAACCTTTACTATCTTCAGGGTAGTATAATGGCTGGAACGATGGTTGTTGCTGATGATTCTTTTGATGTTACTACGTTGTGTCATACGTGACTAGCTCATGCTGCAAAGATTTCACTTCAGCCTTTGGTAAAACAATGATTGATCAGAGTGAGCACCTACAAGCTTGCTTTCTTTGAACATTGTGTATTTGACAAGAAGCCATTAGTGTTTTTTTGTACTTCCATCCACAATACAAAATTTATTTTAGAGTATGTTCACACAAATATTTAGGGCATGATACCGACAACATCATTAGCAGGAGGAGATAATTTGTCTCTTTTATTGATGTTACTCAAGATATGTTTGGGTGTACATCATAAAACACAAAAGCAAGGTGTTGGAGATTTTTCATAACTTGGAAAAAAAAGGATTGAGACTCAGACTTGTAAAAAGAAACGATGTATTAGATTAGACAATGGAGTGAATACACTTCGAATGCATTATTGTAAGAGTGTTAGAGAGCTAGGATAGAGCACCACTTCATTGTTAGAGAGATACAATAGTAGAATGGGGTGGTAGAGATGATGCACCAGACATTGGTGAAGAAAGTTTGGTGCATGTTATCCAATGTTGGGATGGATAAAGTCTATTTGGATGAAGCCATATATTATGTCCGTCACTTGGTCAATCGTCTGCCTTTTGTAATTATTGGGAAGAAGACTTCAAAGGAGATGTGGTCGGGTAATTTGTTAGAGATTATGAGCACATGAGAGTGTTTGAGTGTTCAGCTTATTACTACGTGCAGAATGATAGGCTGAATTCACGAGCAAAGAAGACGATCTTCATTGGCTTTAGGCGTGAAGTCAATTATGATCAGCTTGAAAGGAAGGTTGTAATTAAAAAAGATGTTATATTCGACGAGACAAACCTGTAGAAAAAACTAGGACTTAAGTCAGGTGGAGAGTTCTATTGGGACCACATATATGCAACAGAAGTTGGAGTTTGATGCAACTCTATTTGTTCTGTATAGTTTATATTTTCTGACTCAGATATTCAATTTAGTTGCAACTTAGAATCTTTTTGTTAATAGTGCTCAAGAGGAGGTGGAAGATGATACGAAGGATGAGATTCCTGCTTAGGAAACTATTGCTAGGAGCAAGACCATGTCCCAAAATGTTCAAAAACTAGCTTGGTTGATGGATCATATTGCATTTACACTTTTAGCTACAAAGGCAAAAATTTCTTCACTGTAAAGAGTGGAGATCTCATACTGTGATCTTCGGGGGAATGATACTTGAAGGTTGGTGAAGCTTTCTCTGGAAAGGAAAGTCATTGAGTGCAAATAGGTGTATGTAAAGAAGGAAGGGTCTCATGGAGTTGATATGCAATACAATGTAAGATTAGTGGCAAAAAGCTTTATGCAATGAGAATGGATTGATTCTGATGAGGGGTTTTCCCTAACTGTCAATCATTCCTCAATTTGTGTTCTCTTAGCACTTGTAGCATAGTACAATTTGATCTTAGAACAGATTGATGTGAAGACAACATTCCTACATGAAGAATTGCAATATGAGATCTATATGTTGCAGCGGCTTGGATATAAAGTATCAAAAGTCTTCATTTACCAATTGGACAAGTCCTTATATGGATTAATGCAGTCACAACGACAGTGATATAAAAAATTTGATCTGTTCATGAGGGGGCATGAGCACATGAGTAGCCAATATGATTATTGTGCATATTTTAAGAAGTTGGCCAACAATGAGTTATTTACTTGCTTCTATATATTGATGATATGTTGATTGCATTTACTAGTCATATTGAGGTTGATAAGATGAATAACAAACTGTCCATAAATTTTGAAATGAAAGAGTTTTGTAAAGCTCGCAGAATTCTTGGCATGAAAATTCTCAGGGAAAAAACAACTGGAAAGGTTTGGCTTTCGTAAGAATTTTATGTTCGGAAGGTGTTGAAAAAAATTAAGGTTGATGACTCAAGCAAGACGGTGAGTTTACTCATTGCATCTCACTTTCAGTTGAGTTCATATTAGTGTCCTAATAATGATTAGGAAAGGAAATATATGTAATCAGTTACTTATGCTAGTGCAGTGGATAGTCTGATTTATGTCATGATTTGTATTAGAGCAGACATTGCACAAATAGTTGGTGTTGTGAGCAGGCTCATGCATGATCCAAGAATGAAATATTGGTAGGCTGTGAAAAGTATTCTGAGGTATCTAAAGGGTACATTTGATGTTAGTTTGGTGTTTGAGAGACGGTCATCTATTACAGATTTGTGTGTAGGCTACACTGGCTCAGACTATGCAGGTGATATGGATAAGCAAGAATCTATGAATGATTATTTATTCACATAAGTAGGAGGTTCAATCAGTTGGAGGTCAGTTATTCATTCTACTGTTGCTTTTTCTACTACGATAACTGAGTACACGGCAATCACAGAGGCAATGTAGGAAGTGATATAGATTTTGGGCCAATTGGATGACTTGGAGTTGATCATGACTCTCTGACTGTGTTTTGTGATTGTCAGAGTGTAATATTTTTTGCCACAAATCGAATTCATCATGGTCGTACCAAGCACATTGATGTGAGATGCCACTTTGTTCGGGACTTGATTGATGATTGCATGATTATGTTGAAGAAGATATACACGAAAGAGAATCCAACAGATATGCTCTAAAGGTACTAACAGTCCAAAAGCTCACATACTATAGAAGATTGGTGAACGTTCGAACTCAGGACTGATTGCTCAGTCGGCATTTTGAAGAACTTCACGAGGCTTAATCCCTTCAGTAGGGGGTGCATATATAGCCATCTTTGCGCAACTTAATTGGATTTTGTAGCTCATTTGGTTATCTCTCACTTATATGGAAGAAAAAGATTAGATGGAGATTGTTGTATTTATGGCTTTTATTGTGATTAGGGGTAATTTGGTCTTTTGGATTTATTTACTTGTATGCCTTAGTCATTCTCTATAAAAGGAACATAGGGTTTATGAGAGAGGAGGGGTGAGAAGTGCAAAAGTTGTAACCCCAATTCATTTTTCTTTGTTCCCATTTAGTGTTAGTGAAATCTCCCTCCCCGTGAACATAGGCGAGTCAACTTAACGCCGAATCACGTAAATCTATTGTGTTCGATAGT